TTTAAAATTTTATTAGAAAAATTTAAAATTTAAAAAAAGTTGCAGGCAAATTTGGCTGCAAAACAATTTAAGAGATAAGAGTGTAATTTTAAAGTGAATGATAATTAGAAATTGTTAATAGTATTTAATATTTTAGTAATATTTTAATATTAATTTATATTAATAAAGAGAATTCTATAATTTATAATTATACTAGTACAATTATATAAAATATAAAGGGATGGTTCCATTTAACTTTTTGGTATACTATATTTTTTTCTAATTTAGAAGGTATTATAATTATTATATTTTTGCTTATTTTAGTAGATATTATAAAACTATCTTATATATATATTGTGCAAAATTTTGATAATATATAAAGTATATAATTATTACATCATAATTGTATAGTGGGAATATTTTATAATTAATAATTTATAAATAGATTATTATTGTATTTTTGTGATTAATATAGTAATATACATATTATATATATATTAGGTATAGGATAAGAATGATTGTAAATATAAATGTAATCATTTTATTAAGATTATATGCACAAAATAATGCTTGGCACAATCAAACAAAAATTTGATAGTTAAATACTTGTTAATACTTGTGATTAAGTTAGACATCAAATAATTACAAATTAACTAATAATATATATTTACTTAGCTTTGATTAATCTACAATTGTTTGATATCCGATTTAAATATAAGTATTAATAGGTATTTAACTATCAAATTTTTGTTTGATTGTGCTAAACACTAGCACAGAACAACAATTAACAGAATAATCTCAATTACTTTTGATAGAAATAAGATTTTTATTTATTTATTTTTAATAATTTTAATCATACAAACTATGATTATAAAGATATCAAGCAAAATCTTTCTAGTACAAATTATACCAATTTTAATAACTATGTGTTCTGTATTAAAGAGTAATTTCTAGAACAAAATTTATTAAGTTATAATCCCAATGCAAACTAATTCAATCTTAATTAAATAATATAGTTTCCAAATAGAATTGTAAATATACTTAATAACAAAATTCTTATTAACAATAATTACAGTATAACTATAACTATAATTATTTGTAGTAGAAATTATGCCAATTTAAATATTACTTATCTTAATTATATAGAGGTTAAGATGATTTTGATATGAATTAATCATATAGGCTACTATCAAAAGAAATCAAACAGATTATATTTAAAAAAAATTAATTTCTTAATTTTTATAACTTATAACTCAATAAATTTTAAAGCTATCTAAATAAATTAATATTTAAAAGAAAGCCTATATTTTAAGCTTTCTTTTAAATATTAATTCATCAAGACAATCTCAAAATTTATTGAGATATAAATTATAAAAGCTAAAAGATTAATTTTTTTTAAAAATGTTAATTTGCTTGATTTTTATTAATAATAGCTTATATATACTATAGTTATCAAAATAGTAAGTACTTTGTAATAGAAATTTTTATAGTAGAATTCAAATATATTATGTTGTTAAAATAGCAAATAAGGATTTTTTATTATAATTTTGTTGAATTCTTATATAAACTAACTTAGCTTTAATTGTATAAAAATTATAATAATTCTAGTACAATTAACTAAACTTTAATAATTAAAATACAGACTAAACTATTTTATATAAGTTTGTAACAAAATTTTTTATAATAGAAATCATAATAATTCTGGTATATCTAATGCAACAATATTGCTTTTTTTGATTTGGATTTTGAATTAAGATTTTTTTTTTGTCTATGAATTAACCTTAATTACTATATACTATAACAGAATGATTTATAGTAAATTGTAGTAGAATAACAATAATTCTACTACCAAAATAACAAGTACTAGAAATATTTTTAGTAAAAATATAATAATTATAATATAAACTAACTAAATTCTTTATACTAATAAAATAAAGAATAAGTTTTTAAAAAAATTTTTAGATACTTATAAAATTTTATTTTATTAAATTTATATCAAATCACCCTTATAAATTTTTAATATCCTTAGAACCTTATATTATTCAATTCTTATAATATTATTATTAAAGCTATACTATGTATTTATTTATTCTAGTTTTAGTATATTAATTGATAATCCGCCAGTCAACAGAAGTAGTGATTTAAGCCGTAAGGTTTTAGTCGGCTGGCTAAGCCAGCTGACTAAGATATCGGCTAATTGGCTAGCTAATGGCTATACTTCTGGAAAATTTTGTAAACTTTTCAAAAATTTTGCTTATATTTTATGCTTACTTTTTAGAATTTACCGGAATCTACTATATACTAATTTTTAGCTACATTAGCCAGCCGAACATATTATATTGGCTGGCTTAGCCAGCTAAGCCGGCTTAGCCGCGGCTGCCTTAGCCGGCTTAAATCACTATCCGGTACGGATTTAAAATAATTCGAATAACGTGTGTAACTCACGTGCATAAAAATAATAAAATTCAAATGCCGGATAACAGTTGGTAACTGCAAAATCCGATAAATAGAAAATGCCGAATAAAAATAAAATGTACACGATCTTCAATAAAAATTTTATTTAAAACTTTTTTAGTAACAAATAATGAAGCTTTTAATATCATTTAACGTCCCACGCAATTAATGTTAATAAAAATATTCTTATACAATTATCACAGGTAAAATCGATCTGATTCTAAAATGACTCAAGACCCTGATAAGCAGCATATGCGTTCGAATCCGGATTATAGCGGTTTGCAAAAAGGTGGGACCTCTGCAGATCATAATTGTCATGTAAAATCACGAGAAATCAGCCGATTCTAGTAGATTTTTCGATTCTTAGAGAATTTTAAAGATTCCGAATAAACTATAGACGTTATTGATCGAAAATTATGATCAATAGGGAATTAAAATCTCGGAAATTTTCCGCTATCATCATCACGAAATCACAGGGTCACACCTTTTTGCAAACCGCCATAATTGAATATACCTCAATCGTTTAAAGACACGTCTGATGAAGCAGGTAGATCTATGGAATTATGTGGCAAGGTTTCAAAGCGAGAAATCCCACTGGCGAATGACAAGAGTGTAAAAATGACGTTATTATAAAGACTCAAATTGAATAGAGTTGATTAAAATAAAAAAGAAATATCATTTCAAGGAATATTTTATATTAGAAAATGTTAAAAAAAAAATAACTCTAAAACAATATAGATATTAATGTTTTAGAAAAGTGTAACAACATAATTACCGAAAGAATTTTTTTTTAAAAAAACTCATATTTTACACTTTCGTATATACATAGTAAGGTTAAATCGTCTTAGCTAATAAATAAAGAATTCAGAGAAAGACTTGTGCTGATAAATAGTAAAGTTAGAGAAATTACAGTAAAAGGATACGTTACCAAATATATCCACAATTCTAGTAAAGAAAGCCTTATGTTCCTTGATGTTATGTTAATTTTTGATAGACAGGCTTGCCTATACGTTTCACATGGAAGTAAAAAAGTATATTGTATGTTGTGACCTATCAAAAACAACTTAAAAATATATAATTAAAACTTTATTACAACGACAAAGAAATCAAAAATCAATTTAAACAAGGGTTTTATAATTTTTGATATTACTTTTACCCTTAAATAGTCAGCATAAATAAATAAATATAGAATTAATTTTATTATAAAACATTTAGAATTATGTAATTATTTTTTTAAAAATTATCATTTTACACGAATGATATCAAATTCGTATAACAATCATCAGCAAAATAATTCCCGAAATGGAACAACGTAAAGTATGATCCTTGTTTTCGGGACACAAAATATTTCTTTAACCGGTACGTCGCACCTATAATCATAATTGTTCCTATTTATGTACTAGTGATTTTCACAAATTCGATTATTTTGCAATTTTGTATGACCAACATCCTTAATACTCCATCCAATCAAATTTGTCAAATGTAGATCTGTAGATGGTATTTGAATTTATATCGATATTGATATACAATTTATAATGTATTACGTACGTACCATATCTATCTTGTTATTGCAGTCCACCCAAGTAATTACAGTATGTGAAGAATTTAATTGATTACATTGTCCACACTGGTGTAGATATTATACGTATATTTAGTATTGGATCGTAGATATAACTTACGTCCAATAAATATTAATGTAGGTAAATATGAACATATAAATAATCCTTTAATTTTCGTCTTTGATAAATGAACTAATTTATAAAATATTGAACGAATTACATAGTTTTCAAAAAACTCTAATCTTTTTTGTTTGAATTATAACATATAATGTAACATCATGGAAATACAGTTTCATTTCAGAATACTTTAACATTTCAAACTATTTTAATCTAAAATTATACGTTCTAAAAATAAATTTTATATAAATTTGAGTAATTAATTATGATTGGTTCTCATTTTCAATTATATTATCAGTTATTTATTCGTTTACAAAAACAATAAATTATCCACATAATTCTTGCTTAATAACACTAAAAACAATATTCATTTGACAATGCCAAGCATGAAAAACATATTAATGTTGCAATTATTATTTAATTTGATAGTACGTTTACATAATATGATATATTAACAAAAAAACATAACGAGTTCTGCATTTTTTCATAATGTTTATTACTGTAGATAATCTTCTCATTATTTCAAGAACAATGATTTTTTATAATGGCACAGTCTAATTAAAGTATACGTATATGATACTTTAAAGATATAGTAATTTATGTATTTTGAATGAGACGCTTTATTGTATCGAGCTTAAAAATATGATAATAAATTTAAAAAATTTCTAGGAAAACAAAATAGTAAAAAATTTATGTTCATAAAAAAATTTTTTAAATTCGCTTATTACTTATTGTTTATATACAATCATGAGCATAATAAAATATAGTCTATGTAACCTATGTAAGACTTTTTTTCTCTCTAAAAAAAAAAATTGCATAAAGCAAATTTAGGACATATAAGATATACGATGCAGTATATTGTTGTTAAATATTTGATAAGTCAAAAATATTGTATAATTGTTCATCCGTAGATTCAAAGGAATCAAATGTGAAAGTTGTATCAAATAAGAAAGAATTGGGATTTACAGTTACAGGTGAATAACTATTAAGATCTTGTGGCATATTATGAATAAAATTAAAAGTCGATGTTGTGTCTATACTAGCATTTTCATCGAAACAAAGAGGCAAAGTTGTATCTACGTAAACATTTTCATCGAAATCAAATGGTAATATTTCTGTTGACTGTGTTTCATAATCATGATAATTTGGATAGATAAGTTGATCTGTTGTAAATTGTCCGCTCGACTGAAATAAATCAATTAATTCTGTCATAGGAATCAAAGATTGCGATTCTGTTATGAATTGTGTTTCTTGCGTTTCTTGTGATACATTTATTACTCCGTAACTTTCTTGAGGAATATTAATATTAGGAGAAAATGTTTGCTCATCTAAAGAGGGCTGGGGTTCGCTCAGAACCATAATAGACGATAGAGGAGACCATGGTCTTGATGATTCTTCTATAGATTCCCTAGGCGTAGTGCTAGATTTTTTTTTCTCACCTCCTTTTAATCTTGGTTCAAATTTGTAGTCTGGGAAGATATCATGATGAACACGGCTACAAAGCTTCGCTAGTAAAATATATTGATTTTTTGTTTCATCCGATGCATTTGCCCACTGTTCTCCAATAATTTTTGAAATTTGTTCAAAATTCGCATTTGGATTTTCTTTTTTTATTTCGTCTTGATTATCTTTTCGATATAGAATGAATGCATTTTGTGGTCGTGTAATTCTACCTCGTTTTCCTCGAGTTTTTTTGCAAGGTGCCAAAAGTTGTTCAATTGAGAGTTTAAAATTAAAATCTTTATTAAAAATAAAATCTCGAATATTATTTTCGATTGAAAGTCTAAGTTTGTCTTTAAAGGCTGCAGTCTTAAAATAATGTGTATGTCTTTTTCTTTGCGATTTTTTTTGTTTTTTTGATAGTAACTTTGTTTTCACCATTTTGAGTTTGATATTGTCAGTCTGTTTTTTTACCCTCTTTATAAGTTTTTTATTCCCTATAGTTATTGCTTTATAATTTTTTCTCTTTGTTTTTTTGAAAAATTTCTTTACGCTATCTTTCTTTGTTATAAATTTTTTGACTAAGACACTTATATTAAAGATTTGTTTAATACTACTGTACAATCAATATTAAACGGTATTCATGTTATCACAAATACAAAGCTGGTTAGATTTTAAGTGTAACAATGCTAAAGTAAACAGTTTTGAAATCAAAAAAATTATTATACTATTCTTTGTATGTATGTACGCAAATTATTCAAAAAACAATCTCAAAAATGAAACTATACCATTTTGATATCAAACATCTACTGATATTTGCAACAATACAAAAATTGTTATTTCGTTATCTTATTTTTTTTTACAGTATTACGCGTATATACAATATGTGTTGAATCTTAAATTAGAATTATTCCAGATGAAATTTTTCATATAGTTATCAGTTATCATTATTACAGTACGTATTAGAATTTTAGCCGACTGATTATGTTAACATGTTATTGCTATTTATAGATTAGATCGATGAAAATTTTGGAACTACAGTAGTTCTTTAGTTAGTTCGGAGTGTTGGTTATACAAACAAATCAACGACGAATTTCATCAATTGTCATTTTACTAAAAATCTTTGGATTTACAAGATCCTCCGAATTTCAAGTTTCAGGAACTTTGTACTATGTTGGGGACTACAACGTTTTCGGTGTGCATAATTTTCATTCACATCATGTTGCATCATCTTTGTTCAAATAAGTCATTTAATACTGTAATAAGACAAAGGTTTTTCTTTTTTTGTTTTACTTTTACAAATAATTTAACATTCGTAATTATTGATTTTCAGGCCGTAGTTAGCACTTGTTTTTGATTCTAATTTGTTGGAAATTCATTATTACTATTGCCATGCATTTAAGTGTAAATCTAAATATGACATAAAATGATAGGTTAAAGGGTTACACTTTGACATTATATAAATCTTCTTCCAAGATTAACAATGTCCCTTTTTTTTGTCTTTTTATTAGACGATTGTCATTACTAATGATCCTCTTGTTTCACAACGATAACATCGCAAAAATTACAATGTATAGAAAATTACCAAATATATCGTGTAACTAGACTAATATGAAATTGGTCAATATTGGTGGACCTGGACTTTTGATATATGAATTAAATAATGAAAATTATGCCAATTTTTGGCGCAGATTTCGTACAGAGTAGCATTACTAATAATAATTATAATTATATCACAATTTTAATATAATTTCATTGACCCAGCTGTAAAAAAAGATCTTAATACGAAATTTAATAGGCAATGCTATTTAAATTACCTCCATATAATTATTAAACATGTAATTCTGTAAGCGTTACAAATAATAATATTATGAATAAATAATTGTACTAAGAACGAGTGCAATGAGTGTATGGTTTATATGCTGTTTGAAGGACTTACTCACAAAAATTGCCTCCCTGTAATTTTTACCGAGATTAAAGCGTTGTAGTTTGGGTTAGGAAGATAGAGTTTCTATTAATAAATTTTCACGAGGGCATTTCTGTTTGTAAAAAATCGGTTCGATTGTTTACGTTACACCTGATCTTAAAATTTGATTGGTCAAAAATCACGAGAGGGAACAAGGAAGAAGTTCTTCTGATTGGACAATTTTTGTAGATCTACCAGTGATCACCCGTGATAATTAACCAATCAAATTACATAATTTTAAAATCTGTCGCCTAAAATACATACTAGAAAACGAAAGATAACTCTATATAAAAAAAAAACTTACAAAATAATAAATATACACAAATATTTTATCACATATACAGTAAAATCTCCATAAGTGCACCCTCTATAAGTGCACACCCTCTCTAAATGCATGCTCAAGTTCTGGCCCAAATACATACGTGCCTTCTATAAATGCACTTTCTCTTATTGATCTCTAAGTGCACATTATTAAAGCTTGGTCCCAAGGGCGTGCACTTATAGAGGTTTTACTGTATTTAGAGAATAGAAGATATGCGTAAAGCAGTATTTATTATTAAAAATTCGAGCTTCTCAGAAAATTTACACAATACCAGTACATAAATTAAATTTACAGTTAAACATACCCAACACATCTACCATATCTAAACATTAAACCTGAATCTCTCGCTATTAAAAGATTGCACTTATTCAAACTAAACAGTTAGTAATAAAAGTTTTTTTGAAACTATCATAATAAACGGCTTAAGCAAAAAAAATATTTACAATTACCTTACTCTACAGTATAATTTTGTGCGGTCCAATAGGCGACAGTATATTTTGTCTTCTAAGCAAAGTTCACAAGGAGTAAGATTCTTTTGAGACTCTTTTGTATACTGAATGTTAGCGTTCGTTCAGAGCTGGAAATGGCTTCTTTATTAGTGAAACAATCAGTTCTAAATAAGTACTGTATAAGTATACATTATTGGTCAAAAATTATCAAATAACGGTAATTTGGCAAAAGAGCACGTGCGCTTTGCGGCACGTGTAGCCAATCATTTGTCAAATTACCGTATTCGACAATTTGCCCAATAATATTGGAATAAACATAATTACATCGCAGCACATGAAAAAAAATAACAAAAGAAAGTTTTTCATGATCATATGGGTTTGTCGGATAAAGCATATTACAATTCTTGCTGTCACGGAGTTTACCAGACTTAGAGATGGGTTTCATGCGTGCACATGATTCCTTAATCGTGCGCATTAATGCGCATTCATGCGCATGTTTCGGTATCATGCGCATTAATGCGCATTCATGCGCATGTTTCGGTATCATGCGCATTTTATCACATCTAAATTTTATATAGGAAAATTAAATATGTAATTTAGGCCAGAGAGGGTAGTATCGGGCGGAATTAAAGAATATGGATACAAAAGTCTCGAAAAATTCCGAAAAGAAAATGAATGAAAATAAAAGAAGGGCAAGATTGGAGTAAAAATTTGAGCTCGTATCCGATATTTTTCGAAGGGAAAATATAAATTCCAAAATTTATATCATGCGATATCATGCGCATTTTATATAAAGTACGCATTAATGCGCATTCATGCGCATGTTATTATATAATGCGCATTTTTCCCATCACTAACTAAAATGTTTAAATAACAAGAAAAGTATAAGGCTGATATATAATAAATTTACAACCAAAAATGAATAAAATTATTACCTCTCTTAAAAAATAAGACGCATCCTTAGACTCATCCTTCTTAAGACCAGGTAAATTTTTAAGCGCGACAGGATAAGGTATTCTACATCGTTTATAACTTCCATCAACTTTTTCGACCCTTCGGTTACCATCAGTCCAAATTGCAAAATATACTGTACCAAATCCACCTTTACCAATTTCTTTACTATGTTGTAATTTTTCAAATGAAATCCACTCAATCACTTTCTCGTATGCCGTAGCTTTAAGTTGAAAATTTTTAATGCAGTTATCAATCTCAGAGTTTCCACTTGATGGTTGATATTCTCTCGACTCCTTGGAAGGATCACACGATTGACACCAAACTGTATTAGTATTAGTTCGCTTACATTGTTCACACACACCATAGTTTTTGTCTCTTTTGTTAAAATAATAATCGAGAACAATCATGTATTGTCCAGTTTCATCTTGAGTCATTCCATATATCTTATATTTCTCGTTCATTTCATTAAGCTTACAAAATATATGTATCGTTTTAGTAGTCTTACATTATTCAGTAAATTAATAACATAGTTAACATTTAACTTACTTTTTTTACAACCTCCGAAGTGTTTATTTGAGAACCGTGCAATTTTATGAGATCAACATATGACTCAGTGCGTGACCGTGTATTTCTTTCGGATTCAATTCTAATTGTTCGTATACCCTTTTTCCAAGTTTCCATAGAAAACCCAAATTCCTCTTTAATTTCTTGTAAATTATTTCCATCGATTGGAACCCATTCAATCTTTTTAATATATGGTAAATTAGCATCATCATATGGGATCCATTCAATAACTTCATCATAATTCTTGGCTTTAAGTTGCAAATTTTTGATGGCTTCATCAATATCTTTATTCCCACTTGTCCGATTTAGAGTTTCTTTCTTCGAATCACAACGTTCGCACCAAACTGGAGAGGTGTTGTATTGCTTACATTCTTTACATATTCCGTAAAAACGATTCCTTTTATAATAAATAACATGTATTAGATTTGTATTATTTTATTAGCCTTGTAAGGTTAATATGTGAAAACTAATAAGAGTCTAATGTATTGGCAGCAATATTAACCTTCAAATCCGTATGTAAATGATCAAAAGAACCTTATATTTAATGGTGATTCTATAAACAAATATAAATTGACTCACCTCCTTTAAATATACGAAATTGGTTAAATATAAAATAACAGTTAATTAAAAGTTGACTTTGTAATGAAAGTTTGTACTCACAAGCTGGTAATTTTAATATTTATGTTATCAATTAGAAGATATAGTTGCTTATTAAATGATAATCTTTTAAACTTATCTTTAATACTTACTCCCTTTAATACATTATGGTAAAGTTAGAATTTTAATAAACTAGGAAACGTAAACTGTAATAAGTCCGGAGCGAAATCACGAGGTTTGTTGTGTTAAAGAAATATGCAAGTGGAGGTAAACCAGAACGATATTTTCTATGCATAAAAACGTAACTTTCGTATCTCTTTGCACGTCCTCTGTTGCGCTCCGGACAGTGAATAATATAAAGTTATATGCTAACCTCCTAATGGTTTAGTTGATTAGGATAAAATTGTTATAATGAGAAAATGCTGATTTTAAAAATGAAGAAATGCGAAAATAAATTTTATACACACTCATAAGTAAACAATATTACACTTTTGCACATATATCTAATTATTATCATGAAAATCTTAAGACATGATGTAACTAACAAGAGAAGTGGTACTAATCCATATATCACGACAGTTTTATAATAAATGACCTTAAAAATAATTTGAATATAAATTCAAATTAATAAAAATTAAAAAAAGTTTTACAAATAAATGAATAATAAATTCTTACTTGAATAACGATCTGTAGAATATTCCTAAAAAAAATGTTAAAGAACGCTCCACATATAATTGCAAACCCAAATATTTGCTTAGATATATTAGGTTGTCTGTTTTCATCAGATTCACCAGATTCATTAGATCTAGGCAGCTCATCTTTCAAAATCTTTAATATATTAATTAGTTTGATTTTATCTTTTAAAAGATTTAAATACTCGTCAACTTCTGCTTTAGTAAAATCTTTCATAATTGTTAGATACTTATAATCAATTGTTTCATCATTAAACATAAGCACAAATTTTAAAATTGTCAAGTATTCATAATCAGTTACTGCTAATATAGTGAGCACAGCTATCCAATCTCTAAATTCTCTTCTAACATTGGGATCTTCAATTCTTTTGTAAACATTATAAACGGTATAAATAGCTATACAGAAGTTTATGAGTAGCGAAACACTAAATAAGAGCACACATGTGCTTGTTGATTTAATAAGAATTAATAATGAGTTATCAATAATTTAACACTAGTTTGATCATATTAAATAAGAAATACCTAGGCAAATAAAGCTTCTGATTGTCATTAGAATTGTTAATAATAAAGAGAATTGAAAGAATAAAATTAAGGATAATTAATCCAAGCCTTAATATTGCGGAACTAATTGCCTCAAATTGTTTCGATTTTAACTTTTAAATAAAAAATTTATTAATTTTATGATAAAGAGCTCTTATTAGAAAGAATATTTAATAATATTTCACCTTATAACTAAGTATACGAGATAATAGGCATATTATTATATAAGTTACAATCACTGCAACTATAATGATCCCATAATTATCCCATGGATTAGCTATGTACAATATGAAAATTAGTCAGGCAATTCAACTCATCAACATTTTAGAACGAACTATTAACTCACTGGTTTTCTGAAAGCCAATATCCTGGTCTAGAAGACTTGTCATACCGGAAGAGAAGGTGGTTATATTCTTGTTTTTGATCATATTGTCTAAATCTGATGCTACATTTCCATCTATATGGAGTTGAATGATGGTGCTATTATTGACAATCTGAAATTTCGGACCTAATGTTAAAGTAGAATTCTGGACTGGCACTTTATCAATAAGTTCTTGTCTTAAAGCTTTAAGATCAGCCTCAGAAGTAAGTTGGATAAAACCTGTAACGTCTTCATCAAAAAGTAATTTGTAAAAAATCATTGAAGAATTTTTTATAGTGCGCATAAATATAATGTGCATTACTTGAGTGATTAACCCTAGATTCTAAATGATGTAAAGGTTTAGAACAGTAGAAGAAAAAAAAATTAAATTTATTATTGATAATAAAAGACATTAAATGTCACCTGATTTACATGTAAGATTCCAAATTCCACTTTCAATCTACAGTCAGACCTCTCTAAGTGCACGCCCTTGGGACCACACTTTAATAACGTGCATATAGAGAATAATAAGAAAAGATGCATTTGTGGAGGTCAAGTATATATTTGGGCCGGCACTTGAGCGTGCACTTAGAGAGGGTGTGCACTTATAGAGGGTGCATTTAGAGAGGTCTGACTGTATTAAAGGTTCATTATTATAATATCTAGATTTGGCAAAATTATTATCCATTTTCACATAGTATGTCTCTCCGCATTCATTAAATGTGCTTTTAATGATACGAATATTGACAACCATCCCATCATAACTAAGTTTACAGAAATCAGAGTTGTTTGCAAAAACTATTTGTCTAATGCTGTGATTAGAGGCTTTGTGGATGGTGATACTTCCATTTGACAAGTAAACGGGCGAAGAGAAATTGATGCTTATATCGGTCGTTGATGAATCGACACTAGAATTAATGGACGGGGTAACATTGCTAATCATCACTTTGCCGTAACTATCATCACCTCTAACTATATAGATATTATAACGAATGATAAATAAGTAATTATAGAAAAGAAAGAGTTTTATGAAAAAGTATTATGTTTATGATTGTGGTGACTTATGCTGAGATCTGAGATTCGAATTCCCTAATTAAATCTATAATATCTATTAAAATCCGTATATACTCCTTTACCAATAATACTAACGCTAAACCCTAACCTAATTGTGAAAAACAAGACTATAAAAGAAGGCCCAAAAAATTTTATAAATTTCATAAGAAATATGTCAAATTTTAGCATAAGCTTCCACAATGATTTATGTTCATGATTTTAGTTCCATCAATTTATAAATCAACTTTATACTCACCCCCTAAATTATGCGAATGAAATCATGAATAGTAATCAAGCATTTATGAATAAGTATTTATGTTTACTATTTTAATTATATCGATTTATAAATCATTTTTATACTCACATGCTAAATTTAATGCGAATGAAATAATGAATAAATAAGTAAATGTTTTCAAAAATTTGTGGAAAGATGCAGATCACTTTACTATGGAGAATTTACAATATTTCCCAGATTTCCGGAGTTTTCAAGACACGTTCTTACAGCCATTTTCAAAAATGTGTGAACAACGATTTCCATATATCTACGTGGGAAATCTGGAAATTTAGATCAGTAAAAATTAAATTTCGGGTCTTAAAAGACTCCGGAAATCTTGAAATATTGTGAATTCCCATGACGTGATTCACACCTTTTTGAAAACAGCTGTAATAGGTTTTTTGATTTTTACCAAGTAGAATTTCCACATTCTTCGATTCCCCTCACGGGTATGGAAATTGTTTTCCACATCTTTTTGAAAACAGCTATAAATGGATCACCTTTTACTGTATAAGCTAATATCTAAAATTTTGGTTTTTTTTTAAAAAGATACACAGATAACTATATCAATATCACGGGAATATTCATAAATATTTGCACTTAGTAAATATACAATTTTAAATGCAAAAAATAAATGATCATATCAAATTACACGGTTAATACCACCTATGGACTGGTTGTAATCAGTAATTATAAATGGGTAGAATGGGATTTCAGAATTAATGATTCGATGTTCATTTAAGATAAAATAAGTGACTCATTTATTTACAAGAAGCGACGTACAAAGTCTATTTTTTTAAAGTATGCACTTATTTACATAATAGCTTACTGGTGAATTTAATCAAAAAACACTAGTTTTTTATCGCACTATTTAAATATTCGGAATTCTAAAAAATAAAATAGTATATTTTAAACTCCACTTATTTTTGAAAAAAGTTAATCTGAAATCCCCTAATGTTCAAAATTAGCGACTTAATTTGAAACTATATATTTTACAATAAATGTCTTATTATATGAGATCATTAAAAATATTATGTAAAGGGATATATATCATTTCCCTCGACTTTGACCCTAAATCTAAATCAGATAACCCAAATAGACGCGTTATTCGCAATGGCCACGATTAAAACCTATCAAAAAATCATTGAAATAAATAAAAATGCAATTGCAATCGGTTGTACGCATCTGTTTATACATTCCTAAGCATTCTTAACTTTTATCTTATAATATTAAATCGATTGCTGCCGTTTTCAAAAATTTGTGGAAAGATG